TTCAAAAACTTCTGAAAATAAAATTCTCTTTCGGGGGCGTTGCCCCCGAGCCCCCACGGGGGGCGCTGCCCCCTCGACCCCCGCGACCTGACCGGGCAGGTCGATCCCCGTTGCGTAGCGGCAAACACTAGTCGGAGCGGCAAAACATTCGCAAAACAAAAGATAATACATGCAAAATGATGAAAAATATCTAACACATTTTGCAGTTTTAAGCTGCGTGCAACGAGTTCTTATTAGACAATGAATAATGATTAGTGTGAACAAATTGTTAACATTTTCGAGGAAGACATTTCACGATTCTCTCCACCCAAAAGGGGAATAAACGATGACAAAGGCACTTAAGATTTGAACTAACTGGTTGCCAAATTCGCTCTTTGTTTTTGGGATTTACTTCATTATGAGGAAAATTCATGTACGTGTTTAGATGTAGGTAGTATTTCTTACTTTGTTCCTTCCATTGTTTTTTGGTCAACCAATATCTGAATCTAGATATGAATTATGATTAACCATGCATATAAAGTCTAAAAGGCTCTTGGGGATTTCTCTTTGACTGCCAGACTTGTCAGTAAATTTGAGCTTGTATAGTGCATTGATAAAATGATAGTGTTTCGAATCCAAAAAGAATAGAAAATAGAACCAAAGTGGGTACTAGATCTTTCTATAAAAAAATCAAAATGACATTTGATCCATGACAAATTTCATTATTTATGAACAGTCTGAAGACTTACTGCTTGTTTTTGTTTCATTATAAGTTCCTTATAATTTAAATGTCAAAGTCAAACTTTAATTTTAACAACACATTTCGTAAGAACCACAACTACTGACTTTTCCACGTCTCATTTTTATCATATTAATTTTAACAGCTTATAATGAAACCAAACAAGCACTTCTTTTTTGAAATTCTTCCGACTGTCTGTGAACATACTCGAAAACTAGGGTATTTGCCTGTGGATTAGGTTCTTTGACGGATACTGATAGCCAGAGAATCCATCTTACCCGATAATATCTAAGCATGCTTCCTTTTCAGAAGAAGCTTCATGTATATGGCATACAAATGCAAAGCATAACAAGTTTCCAATCGAATGGGAGGAAGCTTCTTGTGAACCATATTTTATTGGACTTGGGTGACTTCCCTTGACTGTATATAATTGTGAAGGTGCCTCTTGGTGAGTTATACCGCTGGCACATGGTTTGATATATAAAAATTCTTTGATTGATTGTTTTATTTAGTTTAAATATTTATTTATGATAATGACCAAGCATTGTTTACTACATGATATGAAGAGAACTTCAACTTACACTTTTACTAAGTATGTGGTTTTTGTGAAGTTCACTGTATGTGTGGATAATTGAAGTTTGGTTAGATTGTGGCCGATGTGGTTTTGGGTTTTTGGTGGCTGGAGCGACAATGGAGTAAGAATAGGTATTAAAAGACTGGGGACAGGTGATATTGTACATTAAGGACCATAGTGGTAATGGGAAAATTGGGATATATTCTGGAAGGAGGCATCTTGGCGGTTCAGTCTGCAAGTGCTAATTTTGCTGATACCTTACTGGTTTCAATTTTTGTTATACCTTCTGTTATACCGTGATTACAATTGAAGTTATCTAATTACTTTAAGATAAACATCTTGAGTTCTATTTGTTTGTTAAAAAAAGCATGAACATACTGATGTATATTCTATTTACCTTCTTTTGGCCAGTGCAGGGGCTTACGATCCTGTACTCATGATGATCTCATACTCTATGGGCTGTAACCTTTGAGAGATGATTCCATCTCCATATCTATGCTTCTTTTAGTGGCCTTTCAAGTTTCGAGCACAAGTGGATCGGAGAGATGAAGTTAAAATTAGAACTTACTAGTTTTGTATGTTCCGTGTTTTAGTTGCAATAATCGACAGGTATATTTGGAAGGATGCGTTTAAGGTTTTTTTGTGTGCTTATTATATTTACGGCAGATACGATGTTTATTTCTCTTGTATGGTTACTGTGCCATTGTGTATTCTGTTACTTTTTGTAAGATAATGTTCAACATAATAAAAACAAACAGTATTTTGCTTCGATTTTTATTTCTTGGTGCCATACAATTCAATCTTTTTCACCAGACATGTTTCACATTTTGACAGTAACTAATTTTTGCCAATTTTTATGTTTCCTTGTGCTGAACATTTTGCAGTTTTAAGCTGTGATTAGCAAGTTCTTATTAATTGAAATCGAAGGAAAGAGCAATTATCTAGTACATAAATTTAGATGGTAAAAGCGCTCGTAAGTCTCCTTTTCAATCTATCTTTGTGGTCCCTTTTTCTATCAAGTACAGAAGATTCTATGTCAATTACCCTACACAACAAACTAAAGGCTTCTTTTTCTATACATTTCCTTTCCTGGGTTGTTGAAATTCTTCATGCCTTGAATCTTGTTTCCACAGGATCTAGCCGGAGCAGCATCCGGTCTTCTTCACGGCCGATACATCGTCCTTGGTTCCGATATTAATGGTTTGTCCCTTGGGCAGAGCTGCAGGATCATCTCCTATGTCAAGAGCCTTCTTGCTGACTACATGATAGATTTGTGTCAACACTTCTGTGAAGGCATTTTCAACATTCAAAGCTTCCAGTGCTGAAGTTTCCATGAAAAATGTGCTCTCCCTTTCAGCAAATGCCTTGGCGTCTTCTGTGGGAACAGCGCGCAGATGACGAAGATCTGCTTTATTTCCAACCAGCATGATCACGATGTTCATGTCCGTGTGACCTCGAAGCTCCTTCAGCCATCTTTCGACATTTTCGAACGTTACATGGCGTGTAACATCGTAAACAAGTAGAGCCCCAACAGCTCCTCGGTAATAGGCGCTCGTGATCGCACGATACCTAGAGGTAGCAAGAAATCAAGTATATTTCAGTCATAGATACTTTCCAAGCAATTCTGGTTCTAACCCTATGTTCCTCAAATCCTATTTAGACATCTAGAATTCGACGTAAGATTCTTTCAGGACAATGAATGAAATTCCTCAAAACAACAAAATATTTTCAATGCAAATTATGGGACACCGTTACACCTGTGAAAACCAAAGAATTTGTATATGATCAAGACTTCTCCGATCAAACCTTTACATTGCAATCAAACAAGAATACAACCCAGGGATATCTCATGGATTCATGAACGTTTAATGTAACAGTATTCTTAGATCGATCCCAGAAAACATCATTTGCATCCATACCCAAAACAAAAATTAAACAACGTACAAATGGTTCGTGCAATCATCACCAATGCACAATGCATAATACCTTTCTTGGCCAGCAGTGTCCCAAATCTGGGCCTTGACGATCTTGTCATCAACTTGAATGGACCGGGTAGCGAATTCAACGCCGATGGTGGATTTTGATTGCTGGCTGAACTCATTGCGTGTAAACCGAGAAAGAAGATTGGATTTTCCGACGCCGGAGTCACCTATCAGCACTACCTTAAACAGGTAATCATAATCCTCATCCGCCCTGTACGCTCCCATCCTTCAATGATCCTTCTCTTTCTGATAATGATTTTCAAAGCTTCGTTTAAATTTTTTTGTGCAGCTGTAGAGAGAGAGAGAGAGGATAAAATGTTTGGATGATTTTGTTGGATGCAGAATGCCATATACTTGGCTCCAAATATTCAGGAGCAAGTAGAGGGAGATTTATTTCAGAAATCATTTTTTACTAAAATGAATTAGTATTTCAATAATAAACCAAATTGACACATGTAAATAAAATCAATTCTGAAAAAAAAAAAAAAATATTACGCACAGGGTAATTCGGATTGAGTAAGGATCGATACTCTTGGAAATCTTAGTATTCTCCAATCGAAATGGACTTCCCGGCCAAAATAATGTGGGAACTTCGTCTTTCTTCTTTTCTGTGTCCAACAAGGCCTATATGAGCTAGCCAATGTGGGCTCTGGGCCACTACATTCGAGCTGGTATGGCTCAAGGTAGAGGTCAGCTAGTCAACGGCACGATTTATTAGTGGTCCATCTGCTCAAACTTAAATAACTCAATACATTTTAACACCGCTAA